TAAGAGTTGTTACGTGCAAAATATCACGCCCGATATAGTAGGAGAAAATTAAAAATGTACATCACAAAATATGCAAAAACAAAAAAAAAGAATAAATAAAATCAACTGAAAAATTAATTTATGTAAATGGTGCGCCAGAGAAATAGCTAATACATAATACATATATAGCTTTTGACACATATGTATATAAGAAATAAAAAAAATTATATCCGTAGTATAAATTATAAGTACTAAATAAAAGATTAAACTCAATAAATGGCAATGCGATACCACAGAATGAATTCGTTACTTACATGCGAGTTATGTTGTAGAAAATACTTACGAAATTGAAAATTCTGAATTTGCATTGCAATATAGCTTGTAAGTCCAAAATAAGCTTAGAAAACAAAGTGTTACTTTTAAATATGATTATAAAGCCGTACAGAATCTAACTTTGGAGGAGCTTAGCAACGAAATCTATACTAGATTAAAATTCAAATGCTACAATCTGATAAAGAGCAATATACAGCGCTGCTTGGTGTATATAAATAAATAAATTTTCTTTAACTTTTTGAATGTTAGTACGACACCAGGATTTGAACCCGAGCCAAATGGCAGTACGCAATGATAACCACTCGGCTACCGCGGCTGATGGAATAGCTGCTTGAAAAATACTCAATGAGGTTATCCAATTTTCTAAGCTTTCTACGTAAAAGTTAATTACAGCTAATCTACACTAAACGATTAAAGAGAAAGAATTTACGTTTGAGCTGTGATTTAGGGCTTTGCCGCATTCAATTGTACTATGTGGGAGATATTAGTCGTCCATATCTTCCAATATGATTATTATAATTTGCTATATGCGAAACTTTATGATATTTTTTTCTTAAATTGTTTTATTTTGCGTTTTTGGTATACCTAAGCATATTCTTTATTTCTTTATAAAATGACCCTAACCACCTTTCCGGCTAAAGGAAATGCGCTGACATTAACACTGCTTATCTCTCTTCACTATTAGAACTCTAAGTTTGATGGGTGCAGAATAAAACACTAAAAAATGAATGGTTTCGTATCTGATATTCGCAGCTGACACGAGGTACCGTAGCAATTTTCAAAATAACGTTGAATAATCGGAACAACTTGACATTCTAAACGAAATGCGCGCACTGTAGTCGTCCGATAATTTCCGGTGATGTATGCGTATATACCTATGTAATAGAATATCAAATTTCATGCTTTTAGATGCTCTTTTGACATAGTTCTGACAAAGCCCTATTTCTGTATAGATAGGTGTACGGGAGCTATATGTTATAGTCGTCCGATTTCCATTGTTTTCAGTACTAATGTGTAATGTGTGATTCATTATTATTATATAATTGTTGCAGGTTACCCTCATACTTCGGTAGGGTATAAGTGAAAACATTATAAAGATTCTGGATACTTTTGGTGAGCTGTGAAAGAATTGCGCTATAAATGATAACGACTTTGGCGACTGAAAATTCGTTGTCTAATTAGATTTTCCACAAATGTAAATAATCAGGAATTGTCTTTCTGAGATGCTGTCGGATAATTCCTTCTAGTTGAGATCAAAATAATTAATCCCAACTTGATCGTGTTGTAATGCTGTCAGATTGAGAAGTTGTCGCAACGAAGACATTTCTTTTCTCATTAAACTAAGAAATACGATTTTTTCTCAAAATCCGTAAAATTAAGTTCAACAGTTTTTAGATAAGTTAGATCGGAATATATGGTTTCGAACAACACGTGCTCAAAGTCTTTTGAAAGTACGCAGCGTGTGTGAGACAGGAGTGTTCGAGAAGCTGCCATTTGAAAATTATTCATCGTATTGCAAAATCCCGTTAAACATTTACTCTACAAATAGCGCAAAAAATCGGTCCAAAAAATCAGGGAAGCGACCCCTTAGAGGTTTGAGGTATTTTGATGGATTTTGTTTGCTGGAAGGATTAGCGAGAGTGAAAACGTAGTGAGTGTGCTGTCTTCATCGGCGGAACTTTTAATTGCTCTTTGCAGATAAATTAACAACTAATTCAAATAATTTTTTGAATTCAATTTTTTTTAATCATTCTGATTTCAATCGAGCTCTTGAGTATATTAGAGACTTCATCTACAATCATTGTAAAAAGATAGAGAATATAATAAATATCCTCGGGCTAGAAATTCGCTGAGTTCTTCTATTGTTGAATGAAGCAGAATGTACCGTATTTTCAGCACAATGAATAAGATTCTACGAAAAGCAATGTCAAAAATGTGAAAATTTTGTGCTAGAGGTAAACAATTGCATACGGATGTAAATCTCTTGTATATACATATATTTCGTACTTACAGTATGCGGTTCAGCTACTTTTATAAATAAACATAGTTTATATTATATACTGTACACTCGATTTTCGCAGCGCATAAATGTTAGAACATTTTGAACAAATGTATGGATTGTGGGTAAAAGACATTTAGAATTATTTTTATTAAAATAAATTTTAATTTTTTATTTATTTTTATATATATATACATTTTTTTTTGAAATACCCGAAACTATAATATATAGGTAGATCAGTAAATATGTATTTATTTGAAGTCGGCAGTTTAATTTTCCCTTACATAAAAAATAAGCAAACGTCAAAAATAACATTTCATTGTTCATATGCCTTTTTGATGTTAAAAAAATTAGAGCACTGAAGTAAATCCATCACTCAAGACTGCAGCATACAAATGCTCGAAAACAAGTAAACCCAAGCAACAAAAAAAAAATGTTCTGTTTATTAATGGAAAACATAAAATGCCCAGTCATATGCAAACAATGGAAAATTTAATAGGTTGAATAAAAGCATTTTTTTGATACGAACAATCAAAAAAGCAGGCGTTTTTTGTATGTTTACAAATTTTTGAAGAATTTTTTTTTAATAACAAAATGGTAAAATAGAATAAATTTTTTTTTTTAATATTAGAATATCAGAACTCTAGATTGTTAAATAAAAAAATTAAATTCGGACAATAACTTAATTTAAAAAATACGAATATTTAATATTAAAAAAAATTAAATAAACGATTGTATGCAAGGGCGAATCCAACAGAAGGAATTTCAGAAATGAATCTTAACCGTACCCGAAAAGAAAGACTAATAAATTTAGGAAAAATGCAGTCAAATAATGATGAAAAGACATATATGTGCAAAACAAAAATAAATTTTAATTTTAACCTTAAACCTCTTGATTTATTATTCTTAGCTTAAACCGATTTCCTATATGAAATATCTTATTCACTAAGTCTTCAAACTTCTCAAAAATAAGAATGAAAACAATTTTTTAACTGTTTTCAAATGAGTGTGCTGCACACATACACCAAGTTGGTAACCAAACATATTAACACGAAAATTTCACACACAATTTTGATTTGAGAAAAGGATACTCGCAAAAGCACTTTCAGTCTGTTATTTGATGCACGTGTATTGATTTTAAAACGTACAAGCAAACATTCACATATCTAATATATACAGGTATATGTTCATATGTAAGTTGTATCCGTTTTCTACGTCTTCTGCTGCCATATGTTAACCAAGTCAAACAAACCGAATCCAATCACGTATTGTAAATCATGTGCATCTTGAACAAACTACAGTTGTATGAAAGTAGCAGTTTTTTGTATACCTCAATAGATTACAAAAAAGATAGTAGCAATTGAAAGACTCTTATTCGGCGTAGCTACGTACAAGATATGTACCTCGGAAAACGACATTGCCAAATGGTGTATTCTGCTGCATAATTGTATAGGTCCTGAAATTTCTCCCGCCTTACAATGAGACGGACTATCGACTTGTGTTTTAGCTAAGAATTCAATTTTTGGCATCAATCTTGTGGCACTATCTGGTCCGCCATTTTTTCATTTTATGCAACTATTTTGAATAAATTTAATGAATTTTGTAAAAAAAAAATATTTTTGTGATTTTTTTTGAGTGACCGCATTGAAATTGAGATAAATCTTGCATGTGGGATGTTATGCATATGTAGATACGTAGGAAGAATTTAAATTTGAAAAGAATGTAAGAAATATTATATATAAATGAATATACATATGTGGACATACACATATCTAGACTACCAAATTCGACTTTAACAAGCAAAAGGTCAATATTTCACATTTTGCAGGTGCTAACTGTATATATTCGAATATGAAAGTACATGTGCATATTACTCATTACATATTTGTGTAATAAAAGCACGTGAATAATGTTCGCACTTAATTAAAGTGGATAAATTGATCAAATTACTAATTACCCAAACTTTAGTTTTTTTTTTTGCTTTATAAATATAATTTAAAATATTTTTTTTATTTACGCATTATAATATCTTCCTAATGTATTATAAAAACATATTTATATCTGAAACAAATCATGTTTACAACCATCGCATTTGGGGTGTAAAGTGATATCAGTTTTATAAAGTAAGAAATAACCATAATAACAAATTAACTAGAGACAAAAAAATTAATACAATACAATACAAAAATATAAATTATAAGATAAGACGTTTACGTGCAGTTGTGTTCATAAAAATTGTAGCGGGTCAGCTTATACGTTCGCAACTTGTTACTTGGCTTAATCGGCTAATTTTTACCAGTCTTGACCAAAGAATAAGCAATTTTAAATGATTAAGAGCTGACGCGCTAATATAAACAAAAACATTCAGTATCTAAAGTTTTGAAGTAATAAATATCTTCGTTTCCCTCAAAGAACAGTTTTACGGCAAGTTCTTTGAATATATCAGTATTTTGGCTTTTCAGATAATTCAAGATACTAATTACAATGAATAAGCAGAGACTAAAACCGAAATTTCAAAAGATTAATGATTTAAATCTTGTTAAAAAGGGAAATATAAATACAAAAGCTACACTGCAATTTTCATTAACACAACTGTATTTACCACATTACTATAAGATTGAATCATCTAACAGAATTGATATGCCACGAGGCATTTGTACCAATAATTCGACAGCCTTCATCAACATACCTTCAAATCCGGCCCGTTGGCGCTCGGCATCATATTTCAACAGGGCCTGCTTAATAGCCTCCCGTTCCGAGTCCTTCAAGTTATACACCAATTCACGCGCGCGTTCCGAACACAATGGCTCATGAACCGTATCCGTCGGATATTTACCCCGTAGCGGCGTTATTGACGACTGCGTACAAATACTAATATGCGGTTGTTGGAAGCTATTATGGCGACTCCCAAGTATTTGTTTATTTAGCAAAACTCGGGGAAGATGAAAATGTTGGCTTCTGATGGGCTGGGAAAAGACGCCGACAAAAGTAGTGGCAGTGGAATTGTTGGCGAGTATATTATTGTTGATACCTCTTAAACCTAAATGCAGCTGTTTAACCATTTGTAGTGATAAGAATCGTATTTGTTGTTGTTCACTTGTTAGTATTTGTTTGGTTTGAAATAAACGCAAACAAGTCTGTGCGTAGCGTGCGAGTAAGAATTTATCTGACTGCATTTTTATTAATAAATTAATGACCTACAACTTAAGTATTATATAAAATGAGCACAAAAGGGATTCTTTTTATTTTATTACTTAATTTTTTATAATAAGCTGGTGGTATGATTCACAATTTTAAGAGCGGACTATATTTTAGGAATGAAATTGCTATTGTAATGTAATTATTTATGCACATATATTTAAATCTAGCAAAACAAAATTGTTGTCACTGCACAAATACATACATATGTATACGCGTATGTAAATGACGTCACGTAAGCAAGAGTTGCGGCCTGCCTCTCGAGTGTTTATGTTAAGGTAAACTCTATATGCATGTATTTACTTCACGTGAACTACTAGCGCTCAACAATTTCTTTCTTAACACACAAAATTCAACGCTCGCATACATACACGAGTGTACACAGGTACATACACGAAACAACCATGCAAATCTGTTAAAAATAGCACGAAAATTCCGTTGTACACTCGGTGCTCCGTACGTTGATGTTGTCTACGCGGCGCTTTAACAAATCCGACTGACTGTCGCTAGCCTTATTTTACTTGCCATCTGTTTATTGGCATATCATGTTGTTGGCCCACAAAAGCTTTGCAAATTTTCTTGACCAAAAACTTTCCAGTTTATTGCGCTTTTAACCGCTTTCACACACCACTTCTGGAGAGAACGTGAATTAAATTTCAGCTGAAATTATTTTCGAAGCGGAACAGCTGTTTTCGTTGAGTGTCGCTTGGTAAGGGAATGATAATGAATTTGGAACAAAGGGTGTCTTTACGGAAATTATGTATTCATTTTTATTTCCGTTTATTTAAATTGAAAAAAAGAAAAATTAAGAGATACAGAAATTTTCTTTTGGCCTATTTTTTTGGGGAGAAATATTTGTCTTAAATATTATTAAAAACAATTTCATTTCGATAATTCAAATATATTATTTATTTTGAGGAATTAATATATAATATGCGCAGTTATTCATATAAATTTCAAACTTTTATTTTGATTAATTAATTCTACTTAAAAAAAAAAAAACATCAACAAATATCTTGTCAACAGCTCTGTTAAATTTAAGAATTACCAAACAAAAATGAACGGCATTTTAAAAATTCTTAATTTCAATATAATTTGCAGAAATGCGTAAAAAATGTTTTTCACAAATTTTTGGTGGAATATTTTGTGATTCTGGAGTTTTATCCAAGTTAAGTCATCCAGGTTCGCAGTTTGCGCTAATATCTCTAGGCATATGCGAACATATACATTTCGTTCACATTCATGATATAAAAAGGAAAAGATAAAAGGCAGGAATCTATTGTCCTACTCTGAAGCAGAGAATTCATCACGTCTCCACGAGCAATCAATGACATACATGTCACAACCTTAATTGCCAATGGCCAGATATATGTATATTATATATGCAATTATCAGTCAAAATGACAGTTGGTTGGTAATCGCTGATTGCCTGTGGAGGCGTGAGGTTGGCCAAAACCTTGAAGCAAGCAGTTGACAAATCCCTCCTTTCCTCAGCTTTTCTCGTTCGAAACGGGTCACGGGCTTGATGCCTGTCCTGACAGCATCCAAATTATAGCGAAAATATAGACATTTTTTTAAATCGTATATTTATTAAATTTATGGCGCTTATACTACCACATAATATAAAATTTTAATCTATTCTTAAATTATTTTTTTTAAGAAGTGATATCGCTGCGAACATATTCGATTTATATTTCGAGATCTTCAAAACAGATTTCTATTAAATCGGCAATATGTATGCATGCGAATTGCTATTGCTATTGTTTAGTCGAGAATCTAAATATATAATATTGGCACAAGACAGAAAACTAAAGTTAAGAGTGTAAATTTTATGTAAGATTATTCGCAAATTTCGAAGAGTTTCCTTTCGAAATTCTCCTCCTTTATGTGCAATCGTGCGCACGCTGACCCGGTACGCCACGCAACTCTTGCGTGAGTGTACGCAACAGCGGATGCTTTCCACAACCACAGCGACCACGGAAATCGTCCAAATCCAAAGCCCAGACCATACCTCCACCCAGACCCAAGCTCTTGACAAACTGCGCTTTGCGACGTACGTCCGAAACATCATCATACGAAACCCATTGATTGCCATTGTAGGCATATGGACCAATGCGACCCTGAGCATCACGCTCCACGGACCAACCGCCATTATTGACTTTCTCGCATATCTCATAGTAAGCGAGAAAACCGGCTGCACGCGTGAATGCGCCCGCCTGACCAGGGCCCGTAGATTTGGCATTCAGACCACGTTGCTGAGTATCTGTAAGTGTGAAGGATTGACCGTACAGCGGCATGCCCATAATAAGTTTCTCACGAGGAGTGCCCTTTTGCAGCCAATAGTTGACGCTGTAATTAGCATTGAAATATTCGTTTGTGTCGCCCTCGACGTAGTAAAGCGGTGCTACATGACCCGTTTGTTTATCCCAATGACCGTGGAAGTCATAAGTCATGACAGCAATCCAATCGAAGTAACGTGCCAATTTCGGCACGTCATAACCTGCGTCAATTACCACCTTACTTGGCGATACAGCAGCGGAGAGTAAAAGTCCACGCGGCTTAAACGCCTCGGAGAGCTCACGTACCAAAGCTGCAAAACTTGCCTTCTCCGCTGCCGAGCCCTTACTGCAGTCAACTTGCCAACACACCGGGTACTCCCAATCCAAATCAAGTCCTTCAAAACCATACTTCTCAATGAATGCCAGGATACTCTGTATGAAACGAGCACGTGCCTCTGGATCCAACACCAATCGCGCATATTTGCTGCCCAACGAATCGTTCCAACCGCCAATAGCGATGGTCACTCGTATGCCTTTATTTTTGTAGGCAACGACACGTTCATAGAAATGATTATCGATATCAGCCCAGGAGTCATGAGTGGATATCGTCAATGAGTTGCTATTGAGAACAGCAAAACCGTATACTATATGTGTGCAGAGGTTTTCATCAATATCTTCGGGCACATATTTGCCCTCACCCGGTCGATACCAAGCCCAGTTGGTAAAGTAACATACAACCTTATAGTCGCCACTTCCAGTTAGAGGGGGTGTCGTTGGCGGCTTCGGACGTGCGGTTGGTTTTTTGCTAGGTATCTGGGAAGGCTTCTTAGTCGGCTTTGTAGGTCGTGGTGCAACTGTTGGTTTGGGCCGCTTCGTTGTAAGGACTGTTGGCCTAGGACGCTGTGGAACGGGCCGTTTCGTGGTAGCTTCCTGGCGCATAGAGCACTTAGAGTTCTGTGGCCAATCACAGTAGAACTCGTTCCAATGTAAACCCGCTGGGCAGCTGAGAGATTATAAACAATATGAATTTAAAACAGTAAGTATTTCCAAACGAAGTGCCCACTTACCTCTGCTCTATGAGCTTTTCGAATTGGCAAATGTAGTATTTGTTGCAATCTCGCTCGTGTGCCACGAAGTTACGACCATTGCAAGGTTTCACTTCCGCTGAACCAAAGTCTTCCAATGGTGCGGCTTGTATTTGCTGAGAGGTTCCGATTTCTTGACTGGAATATGTGGGATGTGGAATGACATCATTAGGTTTCGGCTTAGTTGAGTACGCTTGCGACGGACCATTATCAGAAGAAACTAAGAAAAATAATAGAAAAATATTTACCCTGAGAATTTGAAAAGCCTTGTACTGCTACTTACTCATGGAATTATGTTTCTGCTCCAGCACGCACTTTCTCTGCGCACCTGGATAGTTTCGCAAAACGCGATTGATAGTCTTTAGCAGCGGATATGATTCGCAACCGCACACATTCTTGAAATCATCCAAATCGAGTGCCCAAATCATGGCACCACCCAAACCCATCGCACGGACATACTCGCTCTTGTGCCTGATCATAGAAACATCATCAAAGGAGACCCATTGATCTCGGTGGAACGCATATGGCCCCATACGACCACGCGGATCACGCACCACATTCCAGCCACGATTACGTATATACGAGCAAATTTCATAGTAGGCAAGGAAACCACGTGCTCGGCTCGCCTCACCCGCCTCTCCGCCACCGTAAGTCGGTGCATTCAAATCATGATCCGCAGCTTGGGCTAGCGAGAAAGACTGACCGTACATGGGCATACCCATTATGATCTTTTGTCGATCCGCCCCCTGTTGCAACCAATAATTGATTGAGAAATTGGCATTGAATGTTTCCGTTCCGGCAGGATGGTCATACATAGGCGCAACATGACCAGTCTTCTTATCCCATTGGCCATGGAAATCGTAGGTCATAACGGCTATCCAGTCAAAGTAATGTGAGAGCGTGGACACATCATAGCCGGCGTCAATTACTTTTTTATTGGGCGAGACGGCGGAGGACAAGAGAAAGCCCTTCGGTTTGAAGGCCTGTGAGAGCTCTCGTACCAAAGCAGTGAACGCATCTTTCTCATCCGGCGTACCTTTCTTGCAGTCTACTTGCCAACACACTGGATATTCCCAATCCAAGTCAAGACCATCGAAGTTATACTTTTGTATGAACTCAACAACGTGGTTTATGAAGCGTGCTCTCGCTGCGGCGTTTCGTACCAGACGTGCGTATTTATCTCCAGCTGAGTCATTCCAGCCACCAATTGCAAGCGTCACTTTAATGCCTTTCTTGCGAAAAGCTACAACACGTTCATAAAACTTGTTATCTAAGTCAGCCCAAGAGTCATGCGGTTGTATGGTGAGCGTTTCCCGATTGAGTACGGCAAAACCGTAGACTATGTGTGTGCAAAGGTCAGGGTCAATATCTTCGGGCAAGAATTTACCATCGTTCTGCCGATACCACGCCCAATTAGTGAAATAGCAAACAACTTTGAAGTCGCCCGACGTTTCCGGGGCTGTGCCTGTTATTGTGGCCGTACCGACATCGGCACCAGAGCCATCTTCCGTTTCTGTTCCTGTACCAATTAAAGTGCCGGTACCAGTCTCCTCGCTATACTCTGCAGACACCTCTTCTACATCACCATTAGGATCAACAACATTCTCTTCTGCCAAACCAGTTTCTATTTCCGCAGGTATGACGGAGCTTTCAATGCTGTTTACATTTTCCCCAGACTCCACATTATTAGTTTCATCGGGATTGTTCGGACCAGGTCCAGCTGAAAAAAGAAAACAAAAAACAAAATATAGCGAAATTGAACTTCTTTCTATTTATCTAACCACATCCTTACGAAGTTCTTCATATTCTCTTGGTGGATCTTTAAGTACATCGTGAATTTGAGTTAGTAGTGGATGTACGCCGTCCCCACATCGGTTGCGGAAATCGTCCAAGTCCAAAGCCCATACCATACCACCGCCCAAATCCATGGCCCGTACCAGCTGAGATTTCTTACGGATCATAGCAGGATCGTCATAGGATACCCACTGTGTTCCTTTACGTGCGTAAGGACCCATGCGACCTTGCTCGTCTTGTATTACTTCCCAGCCGTCGTTTTTGATGCGATCACAAATCTAGAATAGGAAAATAAATAAAGTTTTTTTCTTAATACATCAGGTCTAGGTAGTTATGTACTTCGTAATATGCCAAGAAGCCCGCTGCTCGTGTGAATTCGCCCGCCTTGCCTGGACCGGGAGCTCTGGCGTTGAGACCATTGTTGTTGGCATTCTCAAGAGTGAACGACTGCCCATACAGTGGCATACCCATAACAATCTTACGTGAGGGTGCGCCCTTATCGATCCAATAGTTCAGTGAGAAATTCTGTAAAAAAATAGTTTAAATTTGTACACATACTAAAAGTTATTTATGTATCTCACTCACAGCATTGAAGTAGTCTAGTTCGTCTTCTGGATGGTAGAAGAGTGGTGCAACATGCCCGGTCTTTTTATCCCATTGACCGTGGAAGTCGTAAGTCATTACAGCAATCCAATCAAAGTAATTCGCCAACTGTGGCACATCGTAACCGGCATCAATGATCTTCTTGCTTGGTGAGACCGCTGTTGAGAGCAGTAAGCCTCGGGGTTTGAACTCTTGCGAAAGCTCACGCACTAAGGCGGTAAATGCTTCTTTTTCATCTGCCACGCCTTTGCTACAATCCGTCTGCCAACAAACGGGATATTCCCAATCCAAATCGAGACCTTCAAAGCCATATTTCTCTAGGAACTCTACTGCATGTTTAACGAAACGGGCTCTAGCCGTGGGATTTCGTACGAGTCTGCTATATTTGTCACCTTGGGAATCATTCCAACCACCCAGGGCGAGACTAACTTTAACGCCCTTACTGCGCAAACCACTCACGCGTGTATAGAAATTGTTGTCAATATCAGCCCATGAGTCATGAGTACGAAGCACTAAGTTCGAATAATCGAGGACAGCAAAACCATATACAATATGCGTACATAGGTCGGTATTGATGTCGTCTGGCGTATAGCGACCCACACCTTTACGATACCAAGCCCAGTTAGTGAAATAGCAGACTACCTTGTAGTAGCCGTCCAGAGGAGCGAGCTCTGGTTTATCGGTTGGATATGTAGGACGTGGTGCACGCGTTGTCGTGGTTGTTGTCGTTGGTGCTGGTCGCTGAGTCGGTCTTGGCTTTATTGGTTTTACGACAGGACTGCCTTGTGCGATCTCATTCTCACCTGGTTCAAGACTCTCGATTTCAGTCATCTCGTAACCTCCTTCCTCTTGTGTACACTTTGCCGAGAGCGGCCAATCGCAAGCTTTTATTGCCTCATTGAAGTGCAAACCAGGTCCACAGTCACTTCCTTGTAAGCGATTCCACAAACAGAAGAGATATTTTGAACAGTCGCCAGGATATGGTACGCGCTCCTCACCATCGCATGGATCGCTGGGATTAGAGTCTCGCAACATTAAGGGATTGCCGGAGCGAAGTGCTTGAGACTTTACTTTACGCAAATACTGACGAGTTGTGATGCATTGAACATTTTCAGGCCAATCACAGATTTGACGTATCGCATCCCAATGCAAATCGCCACCGCAAGAGTTCGGCACTAATCCACCATTCACACAAATGTAGTACTGATCACATTTTTTGTGAGTGTAGTATTCACCTTCGTTACATCTAGCGCTTGGACGTTGAGGCTTCAAGGGCCGTTGCGGCTTTTGTACCGAGGGCTTTCTTGAGGGTTTACGCGAAGGCTTACGTGATGGTTTCGACGTGGGCTTCTTTGTTGGCTTGCGTGATGTAGTAGGCAAACCCGATGTGGCTGGAGTTGTGGTCGGTTGACGAGTGGTTTGCTGACTTGTGCCAGTGGTTGCAGGATTACTACTAGTTGTGCGTCGCGTAGGTGGACGCTCTGTTGTGCCTGGAGACTTAGTGGGGCGTGTAGTAGCCGAATTCGCTACAGCTACAGGTTTATTTTTTACCGAGCACTGAGCAGATTCGGGCCAGTCACAGTTTTTGCTCTCATCATTCCAATGCAAACCCCCGGGACAGAATTGCTGATGTAGCTCACCGACTGCGATGCACTGGTAATAGGCATTGCAGTTGTAGCGATCGGCGTAGAATTGGCCAGGTTGGCAGTTCGAAGCTTGAACCACAGGACGCACTACTGCCGGGGAGGGTATCGTGGTGTGCTCAGGTCGGCTGGGTCCATTTGTTGTTGTTGATTGTGTTACTGGTCGCCAGGTGGTTGTTGTTGTCGTTGCTCTGGTTGTTGTAGTTCTTCGTCTGGTTGTCGTTGGTGTGGGTGTAGTGGAAGTTGGCGTCCACCAAGGTGTTGTCGATGTGGAGCTGGTGGTTGGCCACCAAGTTGTGGGCGCAGTTGAAGAGATGTGATCATGTTGTTGTGTAATGGTGCTTCCCAAGGAGCCATCGCTACTCACAGTGGTCATGACAGGCGGTACAGGGGTTACCGGTGCTGCTGGCCGGTTACAATTGCCACGCATGGGAGGTTCTGTATTAAGCAAACCAAGCGCGCGGTTGATCGATTTCAGCAATGGGAAACTCTCGCTACAGCAACGATTCTGGAAGTCATCCAAATCAACAGTCCACGCAGCAATGCCACCAAAATCATTATTTACAGCATAACGTGCCTTTGCTTCTACGGATGCAGGATCTTCATAGCCTACCCACTGGTTGCGCAACATTGCAAATGGACCAGACTTACGCTCCTCATCGCGCCCTGTGAGCCATTTATCTTTGCGTATACGGTGACAAATTTCGTAGTAGGCCAACATGCCTGGTTGTTTGGTAAACTCGCCGGGCTCGCCAGGTGCCGAGGTAGATACGCCCTCACCCACTAAAGTAGTGCTAGCGCGATCGAGCGTAAATGACTGTCCGTAAAATGGTATGCCCATAATGAGCTTCTCTCGTTTTGCGCCAGACTTAATCAAGAGTTGCATGGCGTAGTCTGTGTTGTATTGCGGGTAGCGGTCACCTTTGCGGCCATAAAGTGGACTCACATGCCCAGTGCGGCCTTCCCAAGCACCGTGATAGTCATAGGTCATAACCGTCATATAGTCAACGATTTTGGAGAGTTCCGCTAGTTCATAGGCTTCTGTAATTATCTCTTTGTAGCCAGAAAGCGCGACGCCGAGTTGCAATTTCTTATCGAGGCGATCGAATTCATTGCGTATTTCCCTTATCAATTTGGTCAAGTTCGGTTTATCGGCGGCTGGTCCCTTAGAGCAATCGCTTTGCCAGCATTTAGGATAGTTCCAGTCCAAGTGAAGTCCAGAGAACCCATTTCGTTTTAAAAAACCAACCAAATTCGAAGCAAACACTTTCCGTTTTATCTCATCACCAGCGAGTCGTGAATATTTGTCTCCCGCTGAATCCGTCCAACCACCTAAAGCGATTAAGACGGGCACGCCCAATTCCACAGCACGATTGTAATACTGATTTTCTACATCTACCCATGGATCGAACTCTTTAATGGTCAAGTGATCTGGATCCAATGCGGCGAAGGAATAAATAACGGTAGTACAGAGACTAGCGTCTAAATTCTCCGGCACAAATTTGCCATCCGCTTTTCGGTAGAAAGCCCAATTCGTGATATGACACAAAACCTTTGGTGAACTATTGTAGTTCTTGCGTGCAGGTGGCGCTGATTTCAAGTGTGTTGGAGCACCATAATATTCACCAATATCACCATTTTGAGTATGTGTCAATGCCCCGTAACCGAATTGCTCACGCAGTAGCTCCACATCATCTTGCTGATCAAAATGCTCCGAACCGAATGGCTTCAAAAGCTGTTGGTAGGGTGAATCAGCTCGGTATGGTTGTGGTAGATACTTGTTATCGGGCGAAGGGGCAGCAAATGCGGCATATTTGTCAGAAACGGTCCATAGATCAGGTGCTCCAAAAGTTTCCACCTCACCATTAACCTCATGTATGGTTGCATCCAATAATTTGTGTGGCTCCGTTTCAGTAGCGCTGGTGCTACGCACCAAATCTGCATTTGTTACCAATTCAGAATCTTCATCATTTTCGTCATCTATAGGTGCGGCCTCAACTGAGTCACGTATAAATGAACGCACTCCAAAGGAATCAGTTAATTCACTGAGCTTGTATACATTCACAGATGGTACACTTTCGACAGCGCTACGTAACGGCAGAAAGACATCACCGAATGACGGCCGCATGCTGAAGCGGCTAAGTGCCATGATCGACAGATCTTTGACGGGCACACTCTCCACAGCTGAGCGTATGAAGCTGGTGGTGGAGGGCGCTATGGGCTCGATGGAATGCACTTCAGGCGCTTCGATGCGTATATGGGCCCCTATGTGGTGACTCAAAGAGCAGAGTAGCTGTGGGAAAACAAACAATATATATAATAGATAACAAAAAATTAGTTAGAAATAGGAGGAGTAATAGTGTAGTAGAGTAATAATAATCGTGCCTTGCTTTTTTGTACTCCTCCAAAAACTCTTCTCACTTTATGGGCAACTGATGGCTGAGGACTTCTTAAACTTGCAGTCAGATTCTGATATATTCAGGGTATACTAACAAGTCTTTATAAGATCTAGTATGCACATCCTTTCAATTAGGCTGCTAACGGCCAACAAACAAACTAAATAATCTACTTCTGGTGAGTATATTTTGAGCCGCAGAGCTGAACTTGGTTTGAAAGAACAGGTGGACCTGGCTGTTCTTGGTATTTTCAATTTGCGTGAAACCGCGAAAAGAAAGAATGATGTCTACACCATTAAAGAAAAAAAAGTATTGGTTTTAAATATCAAAAGAAAATATTCAGGACATCTTTTTAATAAACAATAATAATTAATTATTAATACTTAATTTTTTAATAATAATCAACAGATAAACGGAGTCCAGCTGCAGTCTTTGTAATATCAACCAAAAAGATCTTTTATTCTCCAAAATCCAAACTTCGTTTTCTCCAAAAACAAAACTTTTTTCCTCAAAAAAAAAAACGAAAATTTTTTCTTCAATAACAAAACTTTTTTTCCAAAACAAAAACTTTTTTCTCGAGAAACAAAGTTTATTTCTCCAAAAACAAAGCTTTTTTCTCCAAAAACTAAACTTCTTTTTCCAAAAACAAAACTCTTTTTTATCCAAAAACAAAACTTTTTTTCTCCAAGAACGCAATTAATAATTCAAACTTACCAGCAGACATATTGCCGCACTTCCACTCACTACGCCCATTTTGTCAGTTGCTCAGTAGTAACACTCTTCGTATATTAATTTCGTACTTCTCTTCTTCTCTGGAATAAGAATTTCCGTCCCTAGTGGACTTTTATTATATACTTTTGATGGTGATGCACGCCTCCTTTTTTCTCGCTGATTTTCTCAAATGTTTATCGCTTATATGAGTAATTTTTCAACTCTTACAAAGTCTGCAATAAAGACAAAACAAAGAAAAGAATAGTTATTAAGAAACGTATAAATGTTAGTAATCTGTCTGTCAAGTTTGCACAGTAAAGTCGGCTTGAAGACGCGTCATTTGTCACTTTGTCACAAAATATTTTTACATTGAACCGCATAAAAGAAATAAAAAAAAAAAATACATACATATACGAATCTGCATATATTTTATAAATGTGTTATAATAAATTTTATGGCAGTCGGTGGGTGCAATTACATTTCATTCGTCAGATATTCAAATACACTCTCACTATGAGTCGCAGCACAATATAACGTTACTCGAGCGATTGCTGATAAACAAATGAAAGTTGTAAAAAATGTCAACACAACTCGAAGACTTGCGAAATTATTTGCATTTCGGTATATAATACAATTAATAATAATAACAACGAATTGATGATTAGTATCAAAAGCGAACGGTAAGTTTGAGGAAAATGAAAAATTGATTAAAAATTGAAAGAAAAAAAACAACCAAACACAATGTGATTCCCTGTTGTATATACATATAAGGAAAGCCGCCGTTGTGCGTGTCCTGCATGCAAAACAAAATGAATAATAATAAATATATATGAGCACAAAAAAAATAAACAAAATAATAAATATATTATTCTCGCTGACAAATCGGGAAGTGAATTTCATTGTAAAGTCATTTTAGTCACACTTCACACACTTACATATATACATACAAATACATATAAATAATTATGTATATGAATAACGTTATTAAGGTCATAGTAAATTCCGTGGTGGTGTATGTACTCGTATCAGTGTCTATGAGGTTGCTGTCTTTTTTGCTAATCATTTGCATAGGACTTTTGTTATGATGGATGGTATGACGCGTCACTCTTACTGATTTATCGATATCCTCAAATAGTTATTTAGTCTTCTACTAATTTACATATGTGTATGTATATACAAATACTTTTTTTAAGAATTTTTTTTTTCATAATTATAGGCGTTTTTTCAGTATATTTTTTGGATGTTTTGCTGCTGCCTTACTTATATAGAACTATGTAGTAGTCTTACTACTATTATTTCCTTTGTTTCAGTTTATAATTTTATCTTATTTTATATTACCAAATTTATCTGATTCAATTTAGTTTAATTGTAATTAAATATATTTTAGTCCATTTTTTTAATTTATTCTATTTTATTTCATTTGCTTAAATTTATTGTATTTTAATTTTATTTGTTTTATTTTACTTTATTTTATTTTTTATCTTTATTTATCTTATTTGGTTTCAATTAATTTTATTTCATTTTATAATATTTTCTTTGATTTAATTTAATTTTATTTTGTTATACTTTATTTTACCTTATTTATTTAATAAACTTAATTTATTTAATTTAATTTAATTTGTTTATTTTATCTTCTTTTATTTCATTTTTTATATCACTTTATTTTATTTTATTTTGTTTTTATTTTAGTTGATTTTATTAAATTTTTAATAAATAAATTTATTTTATTTTAATTTAAGTAAGTATATTTTAAATTTTATTTTATATAGTATAATTTATTTCGTTTAATTTAATTAAATTTTAATTGGTATCAAATTTGTCTGATTCAATTTAGTTTAATTGTAATTAATTATATTTCAGCTCATTTTTTATTTTATTTTTTTATTTTATTTGGTCTTTATTAATTTTATTTTATTTTATGTTATTTTATTTGATTTTTATTAATTTATTTTATTGTTTTTTTAATTATTCTATTTGGTTTTAATTAATTTGATTTTATTTCATTTGTTTTTGACTTTATTTAATTTTATTTTATTATACTTTATTTTATTTTATTTATTCAAAGATTTAATTTATTTAATTTAATTTAATTTGTTTATTCTGTCTTGCGCATTATTATTTTTTGTTTAAATTTATTTTATTTTGTTTTGTTTTTATTTTATTATTATAATAAATTTTAGTAAATTTCTTTTAATTAATTTAATTTTATTTGTGTAATTTAATTTTTTATTCTATCTTCTTTTATATTATTTTAACTTTTTTTAAATTTCATTGTATATTATTAAATCAAAAAGGATATTATGCGACGAGGACAAGAAAGACAAAGACAAGCAAGGTCTTTTTTTAATATGCTCATATATATAAAAACTCTTTTTTAAATCGAAAACACTCTGATAAGTTCTATGGAAAAATTTTGCGCATAAAAATACGTACGTTTAAAAAAACACTGCTAATTAATTTTTTTTTTTGTTTTAATTAATCAAAAAGGTATGAATTGCAAATATTTTTTGAAAAATAAAAAAAATATGTTCACTGGATTTCAAACAACTTTGGACCCATTAAGTGTGTTCACAAATGAAACGTGCAAGTTCTTTCTTCATTCTATTACACCAGCAAATCACTTTAAATTCTCAATTTATCACCACTTAAATTATTCATTTGATATTCATGCGATTTCGCATTATATCCCGATCATTACACCCACGAGCGTGTAAGAACGTGATTGGAAAACATTTGCCAATTAATTGCCTTCCGGTTAGGCTACACAATAACATACGTATATATGTATGTATGTATGTAAAAAGTGTAACAAATAAAGGGAAATGTTAATGGTTTGAATACTTTGAGGTTCACGTGCGAAATTTCGTTAAAAATTCACACATAAAAATAAATAAAACGCTCCGATTACAAAAACTACGTCAACAGTACGACACACTTTAATCGAATGACTCGCCTCCTTGGACTAACCGACAAACTGACGAGAGAATTAATCATAAGTCCTCCACACACTCGACTAAAGATGTCAGTCACAACTAAACGTAGAGCCTCTTCATTATCTGATTGGAAGTGATTGTATGCCTTTGGATTGAAAACTTATTTGTATGCGTTGCAGCTCAGGTATTTAATTAAAACTCTATTTTGGCGAGTTTCGATGACGGATAATATTGCGTGTGACGGGCGGCATGACCGTTAACATGCATAATTTTTTTCTGATATTCATTAGGCACACCAGTATACATATAGATTGAGTGCTAAAACACAAATGAGTGCATCAATTAATTTAAGGAAAAAAAACTCTATTTCCTAAACTTTGAATAGCTGGGTTAAAAATAAATAATTTTAAACCAAAACTAAAGGGTGATTTATTTAGCTATTATCTTTTTGGTAACACTGCTTTAAATAGCTGACGCACATTTCGTGCTTTGTAATACTGACAAACATTTTCAGTTTGGTCTATAATTTAACCATGAATCGTCTTACAAACTAACAACGCTTGCATATTATTGAACTTTGTTATCAAAATGCGTGCTCTGTTAAGAAAGTTCATCGTTCGCTTTTTATAAAAAAATTGCGTTCAGCAACGAAGCCCATTTTTGGATTAATGGGTGTGTAAGTAAGCAGATTTGTAGATTTTGTAGTGAAGGTCAACCAGAAGCATTGCACACACACGCACAGTTTGATGCGGTTTACGGGCTGGTGGCATCATTTGACCGTACTTCTTCAAAGATGATGCGAATCGTAACGTAACAGTGAATGGTGAGCGCTACCGTGAGATGATATCAAACTTTCTTTTTGCCCAAAACTCAAGAGCTTGACTTGCATGACGGTGCACATGTCACACAACACGCGTAATAATGGACTTATTGAGAGGCGAGTTCGGTGAACATTTTATTTCATGTTGTGGCCCAGTCAATTTGCCGCGTCGTAACGTCTTTAGACTATTTTTTGTGGGGCTGTGTTAAATCTAATGTCTCTACAGACAACCACCTACATTTGACGCATTGGAGGAGAACATTGAAGCATTTATTCGTGAGATACCGGCCGAAATGTTCGAGAGAGTTGAACTAAGCGCATGGACAATTTGAGGCGTAGTCACGGTCAAAATTTGCTTGAAATAATCTTCAAACATTACATTATATGGACCGTACTATCGATTCAAATAAAGATTTCATGCATTTTTCTGAATTCCATGTGTTTTGTTTTTGAAAAATTTTCCTACAGATCTTAAAAAATCACCCTTTATTTTGAGTAGAATAGAGAAATAATATTGAGAAAAAAACTCTAAGTCGCTTTCTAATTTCACAAATTTATTGGTTCCTGACTATTTTATTGTCATTTATCTGATTTTAATATATATATATTTTTTCATTTAAATTTTTTAAAATTATTTATTTTATTTTATTTTTTTATTTTTTTATGTTAATTAGAGTTCGCTTAATTTTACTTTGTTTTATACTATTTTATTGAATTTCTTTTTATTTTATAACTATATTAGTCTTTTTAGGTTATTTTATTTTATTTTTATATTACATATTAACGTTCAATAAGGTGCACCCTAATTACCCTCAAACTCCGATTTGTTAAACATTTAATTTTTTGAATTTTGTAATTATATGAGTATTTTATTGGTTTATTTGGCGCCAAGTATAACAATTTAGAGTCTCTTTAATATGCCAAGAAGACGTTAGCGACTTTCGATTCTAGCTTTTTCATAGATATCGATAGTTTACAGTATGCATCATCTGTGACATTATTGCAACTCTGAGGAGTACCGTTACCAAGGTACGACAAAAGAAAATAAAGTAAACTTCAACTCTTTTTTGTTTACACTTAGCTTGACCGCGGTATTTCGCTTACACTTTTATGTCGTATTTTTGTGTTGCAGAGATTTCTTTGTATCATGGGAGATTTAAAGTCTAAAGGAATTAGTTATGTACGTATACACATATGTGTATATATACATCAAGGCTGCAAGTAACGATAATCGAAAAATTTCTATCGTTTCGTTTGAAGTATTTGGAAATATTAATTAAAGCAATTATCAAACTAAATGTCTTTTTGTATTAATGTTAAATCATTAATAGGTAAAGTTAAACGTTAAAATTGAAATGTGCTACCGAATCATCGTCCCTCGTTAACGATTTCATTTCGTTAATTGGTTTTTAGGGAAATGAAATGACATCGATGCCTTCGTTGAGGATCTCTGATATGTTCCAAATCTTGTATAATTGAG